ACCTTTGTAGATAGTTTTTTTTTGACCTTATATTTAAAAAAAAACTTTTTTAATAATGAGGGACATTTGAATTATATCCTTGCCTTTAATTTAGGGACCCATCTTTACATGCAACATTCTCAATCAATGCCCATCACTAAGAAAAGCAAACGAATCAGAAATTCTAATTAGCATACATGTATTGAAAAATCAAGCCAGAAAAGAATTGAAATACCTTAACAAATGAGGGATTATCAACAACTGCCTTACAGCAGTAAAAATAGAAGATTTAGAAATATCAATAATTAAAGAACACATTCAATCCCCGGAATACATACAAGTCCTAATAGAAGAATACAAAATGAATAAAGAGAGTGACTTCCACCAGCCTTACTGTTTCTACACAGATGGATCATATAGAAAAGCAAAAGACCAAATACTAAGAATGGATGCTGTCTGGCTATAAGAAAAAGGATTGAATCCAAGATGATTCTTTCAAGTAGGAGTTAAAACTTTATAAATTTGTTTTTAAGATAAAAATAAAAAAAACCATATAATTTTTTATTAAATATAAAACAAATGTTTTTTTAAAAAAGTATCAAAAAAAATATTTCTCTATTGTAATTTTTAAAAAATTATTATTATTCACTTTATTAAATTAATCAATTTTAAAAACCTTAAAATAAACATTTGATATTTAATGATTACTAAGTTGACAAAAAAAGTTACTACAAAATTAATTTATCATTACATTTATACAATTAATACATACATTACTTATTTTTAAAACTGGCTATCAGCACTCTGAGCAGAACTAGTGGCAATCATTCTAACACTCCTGGTTATACCCCAAAGAAGCCAAATAGAAATCTGAATGGATAGTACAATCTGTATCAATACTCTACAGAAGCTTTTAAATCCATATATCAGAGACACAGGAAAAAAAAACAGAAAGCACAAGAACTGGTAATTGTGGACAAGAAACATAAACCTGATATACAAGAAACATAAGAGAAATATCTTAACAAAATAGACAAACCAGAACCAAATACAAAAAAGATAAGCTAAAGAGATAGACGACTGAGAAAATTTTGATTGAAAAAGTTTCTGGGAAGCAAACAGAATAGAAGGTGCCTTAACAATATCACACAAACAAATCAAAGAAAAAACCTTTCATATAAAACTAATGCATAATGAACTACCAATCCTGGATAATATGACTAAAAGATTCTTCACAAAATATAGAAACCTAACCATGTATTTATACTGCCAACAAGAAGAAGAATCTCTAGAGCACCTTCTTTCCTACAACAGCATTTTAGAAATCTATAAAAAAATATGGAACCATAATTAGGATCAAATACTCAACAAATGGTTAGAATGTGTCCAAGTGAAAAATATACAAGATAAGCAAGCCACTATATAAGACCTTTTGCAAAGATGATATAGGAACAAATTTCCACAGAAACAAATATCATAAGCATATACTTAGGACTTTTTTCAAAGAAAGACATTGCAGAATGGACCCAAACAATGACCAATGCTAGGATGAAAACTGACAAAGTAAAGCAACTTTTGAAGAAACTGTTAAAAAACATCTGCAAGCAAGTCCAGAAGAAGATATGGAACAACAGATATGTCAAGCTACAGGACTCTGGGAGAAAGTCCAAAATATACAAGTATAAAAAGAAGAATATCAGTGGAAGAAGAAGAGAAAAAAGAAAATCAAAAGATCAAGAACAGAAAGAAACAAGCTTCAAAACAATACAAAATAAGGAAGAGGACCTTAGTCTGCAAACTCAAGACAAAATTTCTATTTGAGATTGGATTAAAGAAGAGAAGAAATGATTAGAAATATAAAAAATAGTTTAGATTTTGCTTAGATGAACTGTAGTAATGAATTGCAAGCAATAATCTTTAAGATTGAACTTCATAAGCAAGTAAATCATAAAAAGAGCAATATTTTTTATTTCTAAAGTCACACCTAGAGACACTAGTTAAAGATGAGTATTCAAGACAGTAGAATAGTTTATGCAATACAATGTATTATACATTATTTGTTTTCTGTATAGATTCAATAAATAGTATGTACTTATTTGACTATGAAAAAAAAAAAAGAATTAATTAAAATAAAATACAATCTAATTTGTATATTCAAATATATTACTTTTTTGTTTAATAATTATCATAATATCAATTGAACAATTATTATTATTTCTATATTCTTTTTAGAAATTATAATTTTAATACTTGCTAAAATTAGTACAGTTAAACCTAGATATAATGAAACCTTCAGGTTAATTAGTAAAAATTGAAAAAAATTGTTTAAAAATTCAATATAAAGAATTTTTAAAAATTTATATAATAAATTTTAAGTTATAACCAATATTTTATCATAGCTTTATTATAAATAGGTTCATTATATTCAGGTTTGACTGTATATAAAATAACTTCTTATAAGAAACAATATATAACAGATTATAATATCAAATACTATTTTTAAACCAATCCAAATGCTTTTATTTAAAGTTAAACTGATATCTTATAATTTGAATATAGAAACATTAACTATTGTATTATTGATCTAGAAATTTATAATATATCAATATACAGTATATTTGTATATATAAAAATTTGTAATAAAAAAATTTTTTTTTTTTTAATGTTAAGATGAGACACTTCTTATGATCTTTATTGATAGAGTAAATATATAATATTACATGATCAATACTAAGATATGAAATATATGGCTATACATATTGGTCTACCATCTATTGTAATAGATATATTTTCAAAAAACCTTGAGCAGACAAAAAAAGAAAAGAACTATCTACTGAGAAAAATAAAAAATAAAAAAATATTTGGAGCAAGATCGCTGATTTTAGTAAAAGAAAGAAAATAGAAAAAATAAGTGTCAAAAAAGTATTGAAGCTTTTGTTAAATGTGGTTCCTGAATATAAATAAATATTTCAGTTGGATAACAACATCACACAAGTCACATGTAACTTGATGAATTTGATCAAGTGATTTTTGTAATATGTTGCTGTTATATGATGTGACTATATTGTAGTGTTATAGTAGGTAATTGGAATATGTTTCAGATGTTTATTGTTTTGTTATAGTAAATTATTATGTATTGTGATTACTGAAATCCATGCAGGGCAATGATCATATGCTCTTCCAATCTGATAAGTTGTGTTATTTTGATGTGGTTTGGTGATACAGAATATCATTAATGTTTTATATGTTGTAGATCTTTTGGTGGAGGTAAGCTGATTTTGGTTTTTGTATGAAAAAATTTTGGCAAGAACTAATAACTAGTCAGAAGATTATAATAAATCTAGCACTAGTTGTTATTAGCAGAAAACAAAAACTAAAAAAATAAAATGCTGCTTCTTGAAAAGAAGATTGTATTTGGTTTTATATATGTTTTTTGTGATGTGGTTAATAATAATATGTATAAATATGGTAAAAAAGTTTTTCATTATTTAGAGATTACTTATATAGGTTTCACTCAGTAAAGCAAAAAGTTTAATCGAAGAGGTTTTTGCCATTTCCAAAGCATCCACCTCTTTATGGAAAGTTAATTGATCCCTTGCATCTTGCAAAAAGCTAAGATAGACTCCTCTCCCAGGAAGAGATTTTCACTTGCTATTTACTGTCTACTGTTCATGTAATTACCAAAAAAAGAAATTTTTTATAAATTGAAGAGTTGTGGGAAAAAGTTTTTTTTAAAAAATTTTTTTTTTGATTTTTGACTTTAATTATTATTTTATAAAAAATTTGTAATAAAATTTTAATAAACTTTAATATTTTTATTATAAATATTTATTTAAATTAAATAATAAAAAATGTAATTCTAATTATTTTGTTATATACTGTTTTATTTTATAATTTTTTAGTAACAATTTTTGAAAATTTTATTAAAAGCTGATATTTCAAAAAAAATATAGGTTTTTAAAACAATATTCAAAAATATTATATATATAAATAAACATATGAAAAATTTAAATTATAATTATAGAATCCAAAATACCATTTTTAAAATATATACAATATATAATTATTTATTAAAATTTAAAAATATTGATACTAGATATATTGACTGATAAATTACAGATAAATACAAAATAAATACAAATGGTAATACATATTCCATCTTAGAAAGATAAATTTTTTTACCAAACCAACTCTTTGGTACCACTTCCACAACTTTTGTCTTCCAGTGTAGCCTCAGAGGCGCAACTCGATTGTCCGGACTCGGAACTAGAAATAGCCACTCTGAATAAATTGATACCATATTTTTTATACATTTCGGTCACTCCACCCGCGGCAATTAATTTTTCTTCCATTTCAGACAATTCAAATTTGAATTCTTTTCCATCACAAATAACCTTTCGATCTTTGACGTTAACTGTTACCTCAACTCCTTCTTGTGCAAGTGTGTAAAACTCTTCATCGTCTACCGTTACACCTAGTAGTGCCATATTTGGCTGCGTGATAATAAAGTCAATATCTTATTAAAGTCAATATATTAGAAATTACTCTATATTATTACCTGATTGCGACCATAAATATACGCGTAACTCTTTGCAATCACGACCTTCACACCAGCGCCTTTCAGAGCTCTTGGCGCCTCTTCTCTTGACGAACCAGAACCGAATCCTTTACCTCCAACG